GAGCGGATGCCTTTCAATGATGGTCTTGTCCAAAAATACCGACTATGTAGAGTATCAGGGGAACCGGCAAATACAAGTCCGTCTTGGAAGTACAGCCAGAACACTCCTTAGAGCCGAGGATGGTGAGGCCTCGTCTCACGTACTTGGGGGATGTGCTGACCGGGGACCAGTTTGCGAAGAAGGACATCAAGTGTGGTAGAGGGTAATGGGCTGGGGCAGGAAGATCCCCCCGCCCCCAATGGAGATAGACACTGGCTGTAACAATGGGCCCAAACACAGGAACGACTGTGAGGGTGACGCAAGATGGGCAGTGTTCTGTCCTGCTGTACACAGGGACATTAAGTTAGTTAACTCAACAGCACCGAACAGTGGCCTTTATGAGAACAACGCACCAAGTGTGCCAGGCAAGTTCAAATTGCCAAGCTTCAGGTAGCAGCCAAGCAAGTTACCAGTAGGGCTCCACCTTCCGTACAGACTCTGGCACCCGTCTGTATGCACCTGGGATAGAAACAAGCACGCGAGGCTGAAGAGTCTCTCCCAATGACCCATCCAAGATACCGGGAGAGCATGGATGTCCATGGGTACAGGCTGGTTTCCCTCCATGTCCTCCACTGTCACAACCAACTCATGGACTTCTGTCGCAGAAAAGGCAAGTGACCAGTAGAGTCATTCCCGCCCCAAAGAAAGTACCCTAGGCAACTCTCTTGACTGTGTGCCCCCATCCTCTCTCAACTGCAGGACGGAGGCCCTCCAGGTGCGGAATTAGGGAACGTGCCACGGGGACGGAGAACAAGGGCCATGGCAGCCTGCCCAACGCCTCCTGGCCCCGTTTCTGGCCCAGCTGCCTCTGCGAGCTTCCTGGCCTAAGTCTGCAAGAGCGACTGCCATGCGCCATGAGCGGCCCTGGCTTCATAACAGAAGCACCTGACGAGTCCCGCAATATGGGGCCCTGGGAGGAAACGATGCTCTTGTTTTCCTCCTGTAATGAAAGAGGCCACTGCGACGGAGCAGATCCCGCGTCGCGCGACGGCCTGGTGAGGCTGCACCTGCCAGCTGGCCTGGTGGGCGCTGGTTTAGCTGGCGGAGATGGAGCTGCGGCCTGGAGCACACTCATCCCTTTGAGCCTCGGTCCCCGCGCCTGCACTCACCAGCAGCAGAGAAGAGCGTGGACGGCCTGGCCAGGTCGTGGGGATGGTGGATGGCTCCGAAGAGGCTGGGGCCCGGCGGGCGGCTCAGGAACTCCGGCTTCAGGCCGAAGTCCAACTTGTGTGGGTCCGATTGCATCTGTTTCTGGAACAGGAAGGGGGTGGGGTGGGAGGATGTTGGATGAGGCTGGAAATCTAAGAGGACCCCACTTACAACAAGAGCCCCGTCAGGCTCAAGATCCAAAATGGCTGGAAGATTCCCAGCCGAAGGGCTTGCTCGATGCCCCCTGGTGCCAGAAAAGTGCGCCCACCAGGGGTCGACAGGGCTATAGAATGACAGGGTCCCACCATTCTCTCACCAGACAGAGTGGCTGCGGCCCCCCGGATCTTGGAGGAATACAACCAGATCTAATGCACTCCTCCGAGCAGTCACTTCTCAGTTAGTTAGTATTCCGCTCCTGCGGTATTTTATTATTTGCTGCGAAGGGCCCATTTCCGCCCAGTTTTAAAGAGAGTGTTTTAAAGCTCATTTTACTAGGGATTCCGCATGAATAATTTGTTGTGTAAATTAATTGTTTAATGACTCTTTGCCACACTTTAATAGATCACACTACATTAGGAAGCCAGGGTTATGAGGAAATATTTGCATGCCTACAAGCTAATTTTCGAATGATTATGGTTACATATTAAAGAAACGAGAGGAGAGAGAGAAAACCGATTAACCAAAGCTGGGGTACTCATTTAACTAATAGGGCCTTTTCCATTCCTGATTGTGGCTTGGCCCAGTCGGGCTGATCGTGACTCGCTAGGGACCCCGTGTGATGGGAGAGAAGTTCCCCGTAGGGTTATCTTTCTAAGAGGAGGTAGGGGTAAGTTGAGGACAGACCTGTAGACCTGCAGAACCTCACTAGTTGAAAAGTCTTTACCAGCTAGTTAAGCAGCCATCTCTAGTTCCTCTGACTCATCCATCCCCGCCCGCCCTCAGCCAGTCTTTCCGTTTGCCTTCCTTTTGCTGCTTTGAGGTGTCATGGAGTCCATTAGGACTCGCAGTGACCCCCACTGGCTGCAAGCAAGGAAACGGATGGAGGCCGACTGCCAGGCCTTTCTCCCAAGATGTGGAGTGGGCTCGAATTGCCAACCATTCGGCGAGCGGCCAAAGGCTGTCCTGCCCTGCCACCAGGGTCCTTTCACCTTCTAAGATGGTAGAAGCTGGCTCTTGATTCTCCTGCCTAGCCATTCTGGGGACAGGATGCTCGGGACTGACAGTCCTCTCAACAGCCTGGTTTCAAAGGGTCCATACTCTCTGGACACTCAACAGTGTCCTCTTTTAACTGGCTCCCCCTGGGCAGATAGGCACTGCCCCACCTTGAACTGGGTGCACCCCAAGTCTGGAAACTCTGAAATTCCCCTCTGCAACTTCCACGCCCTTAGCCTGGCTCCTGACCCTCGAATTTCCACTCCTCAAACTCCTCCGATGTTCTCTCCACTCTATCCCGCTGTGACCCTCCTACCTCCAGCGCTCTAAATCCTGGCCACATTCCAGAACGGAGGTGACAAAAGGCGACGTGAGAATCCAAGAGATCAGGGATGTGGGCTAACTCTCCCTTTACGGCACTCATCCACTGGACTCAATGACAGTAACATCTCCCCGAGGCCCTCTAAGGGTTGCTGGATAGTGGAAACTCGTGAAGCACTTGATTACTAAACCACAAGGTTGAAGGCTCAAGTCAATGCAGGGGCACCTTGGAAGAAATGTCTAGTGTCTCCTTCCAAAAAAAAGCAGCCCTTCGGAGCACCTTTCCACTCTGGGGCTGCACAGGGTCGCCTTGAGCTGGAATCAACCAGGCTGCTTGGGCATCCTACGCTGCCGGCAAGGCCTCTTGGAAGCACACTACACTTTCATCACTTCGGGTGCACACCCAGGCCCCTACGTTAAGGCACTCTAAGGGACCTCCATCTCTGTTCCCTCGGAGCCCTGGCACAGTGGAACCGGCAGGTGGTAGCTTTCTTGATAAACTTAGCAACTAACAGAAGATGGAAATGAAATGTGAACGAGGGGAGAGACGGTGCCATTTCAGCTCCGGTTTACGGGCCCCCGTGAGAGGACAGGGCCCCTTGAACACCCGGGTTCTTGTCCACTATAAATCTATGAGACCCTCCCAGGACCTCCTTCAGTTTGGGAGCCAAATTATTTAGTGCTCACACTGCATGGTACAGTTCCATTCACAACTGAAGTCCGTGGAACGAAACGGAGCCTGGGGACAGCGGGCAGCCTGCTGCACAGGGACGGTGTGCGGGTGCCATCTCCTGTTCATAGGGGTCTTTCTAATGGAATCGGGATAATGAAAGTTTCAAGTCACCGGGGACCCACTGATAG